TGGCTCAGGGATCACTGTTGCAGGTTTGGTTTGCCCAGAGCTGGCACCCCAGCACCACCAAGGCCGGCCACCTGTAAGGAGATCTGCCGCGTGGCACTTTGCTGGGGTCTCGTGCTCGGCCGGGGTGGCCGCCTTCCTGCCAAGACCATGTTGACACCCAGAGGGCGGTCCCTGTGGGAGCAGTGCAGACCAGGGGGTGAGCAGACCCGGTCCTTTGCCATGTTCACGGAGCCCATCCCACAGCCCCCAGGGGTTCCCATCCCACAGCCCCCAGGGGTAGATGTCATGACCCCCACTTTACAGATAAGGACACCGAGGCACGGAGCCCAGGACCCACAGCCAGCAAGCAGAGGAGCCCCATTTCGGGGGCGGCTGGTCTGGTCTGCAGGCTGTGACCGGCGCCTGGGGCCACCTTGTGGTCAAAGCAAGAATTGCTCTTGCGTGTCCAGGTGGTCAGGGTGAGCCTGGCACCAGACCAGCGACCCTTATGCACCCCCCTCCCCCGACTGATTCTCCCGGGATCCTTAGCCTCAATGAGGATTCTCTTTCCATCAGCCGCGGGTTTGGCCTGGTCTCTCTCTCTCTCTGGGACAATGAACAGCATGTAGCCAGGGTGTTTCTGGCTTTGCCCTGATAGCCAGGAAGTTCGGGATGTTGTTGTGGGGAAAACAGTGAGTCTGAAACCATTCAGCTCTGGTTTTCAATCCCGACCTGTCCTCAGACGAGCCAGTGTGGGGCTGTGCGGGGGTCCAGCCCGATGAGGCGACCCGAGGGCAGGGTCCTGGGACCCTTGCAAGAGGCGGGCTGGGAGGGCTGCGGGAGGGTGGGGACCAGGACCAAGATGCATTTCATGGCACGTGTGAAAGCGTCAGATGTGGGCCCAGGGGCCAAGGTCCTCACGGGGCAGCTCTGGGGGCACGGGTCTGAGCCGCGGTGAGGACAAGGCTCGATGGGGAGCCCTCTGCCGAGGGTGGTCTCAGGCTGGCAAGGACGTGGGCCAGCGTCCCGCTTGGCCGTTAGCCTGCATATGTGGCTACTTGCCCATGAGCTTGACTCTGTCCGGGTGACTGCGTGTCCTCATCTGGGACTGGCCGCACCCTGGAAATAGCCAAACGGTGCCTCTGTCTCTCAGAACTTGCTGTGACCAGAGGGTCGGCCTCCGGCACTGGCCTCGGGCGGAGACCCCCACGGTTGGGCGGGGGGGGGGGTGGAAAGGGAGGCTCGGCTGTGCCCTGAGGGGCTGCGGCGGCTGCCGGGAAGCCAGGGTGCCCCATGTGGCCGGCTTGGGCGTAGGACCACAGTTAAGGCGGGCGTCAGTCATGAGGCCCTGGCTCTTTGGGGCCAGGATTATAGTTCGGCTTTCTGGACTTCTTGCCGGAGATCAGGGTCTGACTTCCCGCACGTCTGGCTTAGGCGGCCAGCTGCTTCCTGATAGTGACCGTGGGCGTGGGCGGCTTCCCGGGTGTCCGGCAGGGTGTGCCTGAGCCCCGGAGCTGCTCCTTGCCTGGACATCGTCTCTGTGGATGTTCCGTCCCCAGCACCGTATCGCTTTCATGTGTTATCACAATCTTGCCATCCACGGCGACGTGGATGGCCCTTGAGGCTGCTCTGCCGGTGACATAGGCCAGAAGTGGAAGGACAAACACCACATGATTGCACTTATGTGTGGAATCTTAAATAAGAAATAAACACACAGAAACAGAGAACAGATTGGCGGTTGCCAGAGAAGGGCTGGGGGCTCGGGGGGCGCGGTGAATGGAGGTGGTCAGAAGGCACACGTTTCCAGTTATGAGTTTCCAGTTATGTAAAATGCCAACCAGTGCCAAAGGTTACAGTGAAAGTGGGCAAAGGCCTCCTTCTCCCTCAGCCCCAGGCCCCACCCGGGGATATCTCTGTGTCTCTTTCTCTGTCTCTGTCTCTCTCCCTCTGTCTCTGTCTCTCTGTCTCTCTGTCCCTCTGCCTCTGTCTCTGTCTTTCTCTCTCTGGCCCTGGCTCTGTCTCTGTTTCTCTGTTTATCTCTGTATCTCTATCTCTAGCCCTAGCTCTGTCTCTATGTCTGTCTGTCTCTCTGTCTCTGGCCCTGGCTCTGTCTCTGTCTCTATCTCTCTGCTTCTGTCTCTCTTCCACTGTCTATCTATCTCTGTCTCTCTGTCTCTGGCTCTCTCTGTCTCTCTTTGGCTCTCTCTATCTCCATCTCTTTCTCTCTGTCTCTGTCTCTGTCTCACCTGTCCTCCATCTGGACTGCCCTCTCTCGTCCTGTGCCCTGTACTGGTGAAGCAGTTTCGCGTCTTGTGATGGTTCCCATGGACGTCCACTTGCCACCCGAGACCCTCCCGTCACCTTCCAGAGACACTGAGCCCTTTGTGGTTCTCTGCATGTGGCACCTGGTTCACCTGAGTCTGCTTGGGCTGTGGTACACACATCACACACGGGGCTCACACTGCAGAAGGTCACCGTCCCCCCGTCCTGGAGGCCGGAGCCCGAGGTCCAGGCGTGGGCAGGTCCAGGCCTCCCGAGGCCTCTCTCCTTGTGTGTGGACGGCCGTCCTCTCCCTGTGTCCTCACGGGGGTCATCCCTCCGTGCGTGTCTGGGTCCCGATCCCCTCTTCTTGCAAGGACCCCAGTCACACGGGATCAGGACCCACCCTGGTGACCGAATGTTACCTCAGTCACCTCTGTGAAGACCCGTCTCCAGACACGGTCACGTCCTGGGATGCTGGGTATTGGGGCTTCAACATGAGTTTGGGGGACACAGTTCAGCCTGCAGCGGTGCTTTGAGCATCCCTCTCTTGGGGTATCTTTTCTTCCTTGCCGACTGGGGAGCCCCCTGCCAGCGGAAAGCCTCGCGGGCAACAGCTGTGAAGGCCTCCAGGCCCTGCTTCCGTGTAAACCCTGCCCTGATTCTTTGCCGCCTCCCGGGAAGGTCTCTGCAAAGAGTCCCAGGGGTGGGCCGGGATCCCCCAAGACGCCGAGGAGTAACTCGGCGAGCCCGGGGCCTGGCACTCTCCCGGCCACGGGGGGAGCAGGCGTGCACCTGCACGGCCCCCAGGTGGCCCAGCTGGGCATCAGGACACAGGAAGTGGTGCCGGAGGGCAGGCCCCGGGGCCAGTGACCAGAGCCACGAGGGGCAGGATCCCCTGTCCGTAGCTGCAGGAGAAGCACCCGAGTGAGAGGTGGGGGTTAGGGTGGACAGTGTATTCATTCACAGGGGTCGTGGCATCCCGCTGGGGCCCTAACAGAATCAGGCCAAGTGCCGTGGGTCGCCCGTGGGAGAGGCTGGGCCGTTCCCCGTGGAGGTCCTGTGGCCCGGTGACCTCCTGGACCGCGGGGCCGGCCTCTACCTTCCTGTGACGAAGGTCGGGCGGCGTGGGGAGGGGGTGGGGGTCAGGCTGCACGAGAGGCAGGGGGGCTGACGTCAGGCGGGACCGGCGGGGGGCGCTGGTGACGGCAGGGTCTTCGCGGGGCCAGGAGGGGTCGGCAGTTCCCATCGCTGCTTTCCGGGTGACCTCCGCCTGCACCCTCCACACCCTGTGAGAAGGTCCCTTGCCTTGAGTTTCATGTAAACACGTAGGGCCATAAATCCTCTCAATGTCTGTACCATTTCAAGCCTGTCAAGCTGGTTTTGATGTAAAATCTCTTCTAAATGCCTTATGGGGCGGCATGTTTTTAAAGTTCCAGAAATGTGGGGCTTTTACAGTTATCTTTGTGATAATGATTTTCAAAAGTCATTGAGTGCTTGGAGAACATTCCATTCAACTGGGCCGAGACCAGCCAAATAGTGAGTACGTGGACGGCCATACTGAGGTCTGATATGGGCTAACAAATGCCCAGTCTTCGATCAGTGGGTGTCAGAGTCTATACGTACCCAGTGGATTTAACCTACTCACTGTGCACTTCAAACTTGCTATGAACTTGCTGACCTTACTGGCCATTGGATCCCACAGTAACTGAGAGATGTGCTAAAATTTCCCACCTTGGGAGTGGATTTGCTGAATTCTCCCAAACACTCTGGGCATACCCTTGCCTTGGGGCCTTTGCACCGGCTGGCCGAGAGGGTGCTTCCCTGGGAGGCGCATGGCTCGCTGCTTTGCTGAGTGTTCAAGGACGCGTTCCCGAGGAGGCCCCCGCTAACCATCCTTTAACATGGACCACCTTCCCTGTTTCATCTTCTTCCTTTGGAACACTCTGCAATTTAATGGCCCATTTTTGCTTTTTGTCGAGACTGAAATCTTGTTGCTTTTATGCTCCATTGCGTCCCTAGCTTCTGGATAGCTCCAGGCACAAAGAAGATGCCTGATGAGCGTTTGTTGGAAGGCTGACTTTTCCTCAGGCTCACTGTCCTGAGTGAGAGTGTATGTGCTTCTGTTTATCTCATTTGGAACTCAGGAATCTGTTAGCATTTTTCATAAATTCTCGAAAATTCTCCCACATTGTTTCTGAGTGTTGGCTCCCCCCTCATCACGTCCGTTACCTCCTCTGGGAGTCTGGCTGTTTGCGTGCTGGACTTTCTTGCTCAATCTTCCGTGCCTACTCGCAGATTCCCCGTGTGTTTGTGTCCACGCTGTGTTACAGATAACGTCTCCGTGCTTATCTGCCCATTAATTTTCTTTTCATCTGGCCTCGCCAGACCCAATGAGTTTTGTTTTGTTTTTCATGTCATCAAAAATTAGCTTATTAAATTGAAAGTTAGGTCTTTTAACAGCCATACAAGTAAAAAAAAAAAATTAAGAGCTTTGTGAAGGTATAATTGACACGTAATAAACCGCACATAATTCAGTTATTACGGTTTTCATTTACAGAATTTCTGTGCTTACTGTTCCAATAGCTTAGTTGGGTTTAGGCTCACCTACCTCTTGCGCCTGTTTTCAGTCGGCTCTTTTATTTACTTTTTTAGTTCTTTCTAAAGTTCTTACTTTGTACTGTGTCTCATAACTTCAGTAACCAGAGCTCTCGCTTGACTGATTCTTCTGTTTGTAGCTGCAGCTGGCTCTGTCTCGTGAGGCCCGTGTGTGTGTGTGCTGTGATTTTCGGGTTCTGGCTCCTTGGAACTTCGTCTGGGGTGTCTCCGACACCTGCTTAAGGGCGAAGGCAGACCAGGTCGGGCTGCAGGTGCTTGGGAGGACGGGCTTCCAACAAGTGTCGGGGAGGACGTTTTCTTGCCTCTACCCTGGGCCAACGGTGTCCCAATGACCTTCCTGGTGTCACTCGTGCCTGTTTCTGGCCTTCGTGGATTCAGAACTCCCTCAGTTGTTGGCTCTGAGGATTCTTTGCTTTTTGAACAGCTCGGTGACCTTTAAAAAGTCATTTTGTAATCTGGCACCTTCAGGAGTTTTCATGGGAGGGCTGTGGTTGGCGTCTGGTCAACCTTACTAAACAAACTTACTAAAACTGAAGCTCAGAAGAACATCTAGAAATTTCCACGTTGTTGAGCTGACACGCTCTCATTGTGGTTCGGTCTCGTGCCCGCTGCCCGGGGGTCTGTGAGGAGCTGCCCCGAGAGCTTCCAGGCCCGCGCAGCCCCCTCCCTGCTGCCTGCCTTGCCCACGAGCCCCAATGTGTGTGAGCTCTACTGTTCTTTCACGGCCAAGTCCTGAGCCCAGGGCCTCGGAGTGGAGCCTCCCATGGGAATGGGGCCGTTGCAGACACAATGAGTTAAGAGGAAGTCACGCTGCACTGGGAGACCCCAGATCCAACAAGACTGGGCTCCTTCCATAAAGGGGACCTGTGGACACAGAGATGAGACACGCATGGGGGGATGACCCCGTGAGGACACAGGATACTGGGAGAGGACGGCCGTCCACACACAAGGAGAGAGGACTCGGGAGGACCCGGCCCTGCCCATGCCTGGACCTCGGGCTCCGACCTCCAGGACCGGGGGACGGTGACCACCTGTGGTTGAAGCCACGGTCCGTGGTGCTTTGCTAAGGTGGCTCCAGCAAACTAATACCAGAGGGAACATGGCGGGGCTGGGGTGTTGGTCCCAAAAGCATAGGAGTGGGATTGTATAAATGTTATGCATGTTTGTAATCACACGGAAGCTGAAACACAGACTCAAGGGCAAACTTTCAGGAGGCACTGGATGTATTTATTTAGAAGATCTGGACTGAACGCTTACCAGACAATCCCAGCAATGAGCAAAGGACCTGAACCGTGGCCAACAAGGAAGGGAAGGGCTTGGAGACCCCTTCCCTCAGGGAGGAGCCCGGCACCAATGCCTCTGTGTCCTGCAGCTAGAACTCAAGGGTGACCCCGGCTCGGGCAGCCCAAGTGGGGTGGAGAGGGAGGGACGCAGGCGCCGGGGGCAGGAGGGCTGGGGAGAGGGCCAGCAGGGGCCCCGGCCAGAGGGCATCTGACTCGCGATGCTCCCGGCAGGCTCACTGGAGGCACCCAGCGGCCCCGAGAGGTGTGGAGGTGAGATCGGGAACGGTGCGGGAGGGGACAGGGCGCTGGGGGCCTTTGTGGCTGGAGGGCTGCAGAGCTAAGTGCTGAGGGCTGGCCACCAGGTGCCACAGTCCAGAGGACAACGGACCCACGGGTGTGCTACAGGAGTTCAGGACACTGGCCATTGCTACAGAGCCTGCGGGTGCAGGGACCGCCTGGACCAGCGGCCACACCTCAGACCTTGCACTGGCAGCAGATGGGGACACAGCAGCTGGACTGGCAGCAGCCACAGGAGCCACAGGAGCCACCCCCCACCTCGGAGCCCCCACAGGAGCTATAGTTACATGTAATTCTTATGTACAGTGATATGTTGGGGTGCGGCCGGTGTAGGAGTAGAGCTGGGCTGTCAGGCGGGCGAGCTCATCCAGGGGGAAGTGATGTTAGATGTGTCGGTGCCTCTGTGGCTATTTTCAGGACATGACGGCCCTGCCTGGGCCCTGGGGACACGGGTGTGGGGTGCCAGGGTCACCAGGCACCAGCCTTGACTGGACCTGGAGTCTGGGCCGGGCGCTGGTTTGGGCACTGAGGGAGGGTCTCGGTCCTGCATTTCCGAGCGGTCGAGGAGCCGCTCCCGAAACAAGGGGACGACGTAGGGGTGGAGCCAGGGCCACGGGGGCCCCACTTTTCTTTCCGTGCCACCAGCTGCCACCGGTTGTGCCTTTGAAACCCACGTGGATCTAAGCGGTACCAGGGTCACCGCCACCGCGGAACATCCATGGTACTTTCCACGTGCCAGGCGCTCAGCCGTGCTCCCGCAGTCACAGACTGCGAGTGTTAGCTTCTCCCTTGGGGGTCACTGCAAAGCCCCTGTCTGCACGTGTGGCCCACCCTGTGAGACCTCACTGAGGGATACATTCGAGGTGGGTATTTTGTTTTAAGTTTATTTATGTTGAGAAACACAAGACAGTGTGAGTGGGGTGGGGGCAGAGAGAAAAGGAGAGAGAGAGAGAGAGAGAGAGAGAGACGCAGGCAGGCTCCATGCTGCCAGTGCAGAGCCAGACTCAGGGCTCAAACCCACGAAACCATGAGACCATGACCTGAGCCGAAACCAAGAGTCGGGCACTTAACCGACTGAGCCCCCAGGTGCCCTGACACGGGTTAGGTTTCAATTTGAGTTTTAACTCAGCAGCTGGGGCTGAGAAGTCTGAGGCTCTCCCGTGTCTGGGCTCACTCCAGCCCTGGCCTCCTGGCTTTCTTCGAGTGTCCTTGAGCTAACCTCTTGCTTACAGTGCTCTGCGAAGTGTGGCCACGATGACCCACGCAGAGCAGCACTGAGCTTGCAGGGTCTTGCCCGGACACACGTGATCTGGAACAGTGACGCCAAGTCCACACTAACCATGCTTCCAGCCCCTGCAAACAGTTTCCTCTCCGTCCCCACCTGGCCACTGAACCAAGGCCACAACGCTGTGCTCTCCTTATACTGCGTTCCTGGGTCAGCCGGGACGGTCAGTCATGCTGCCAACTAGCCGCCCCCACAGTTCAGTGCTTATTTCTTGCTCGCGCTCCACGCCACCGCCCGCCGGCGGCCGGGTCACTGCACTTCCTCCCTCGGGGCTCGGGCCGGGGGAGCAGCCGCTCTGGGAACGCCAGCGGTTGCCCTGGAGGAAGGAACAGTGCACGTGGGAAATTGCACTTAAGTTTCTGCTCACGAGCTCACACAAATCACATGGCTGTGCCCAGCTGCAGGAAGACCTCGGGGGCCACCTGCCCCTTGCCCTCTGACCCTGTCCCCAGGAAAGGAGATCCAAGGGGTCTGTAAATAGCCTGATTTGAGCGTTCTGCACAGTAGCCCTGTCAGCAGTGTACGTGGTTTGAGCTAATGGCCTTAAGCGCCTACCTTTTTGACTCACGGATGCATTTATTTTTATAAAAAAAAATTTTTTTTTAACGTTTATTTATTTTTGAGACAGAGAGAGACAGAACATGAATGGGGGAGGGCCAGAGAGAGGGAGACACAGAATCCGAAGCAGGCTCCAGGCTCCGAGCCGTCAGC